AATTTATCTGATATAAATTCTTTTATTTTCTATTTAGATTTAGATACTGAAGTTGTAACATTATTAATTGAATTAAAAAAAAATCAAAAATTAAAATCACTTCACATAGGTAGAAATTTTAATAATACAAAACCAAAGTAATTTATAATATAAATATTCAATGAAATTCATATATATGAAAAATTTCTTTTTTTTTGTTTTTAGAAATCTACAAAGAATAGTCAGTGCAATGAAAGATCTTGTCTTTGACAGTGTAAATATAAAAAAAAAACAAATAAAAATATTATTTGATTATTATTTCTAGAAACTTGAATATTTATCAATTGCTGATTCAAAATTACGAGAAAATACAGCTGATTTTCTTCAATCATTAGTTAATAATACATCAATAAAAACTCTTGATATTCGGTAAATAAAAATAACAAAAAAAAAAAAACAAAACAAAAATTTTATTATATATTTCTTTATATTATAAATAGAGGAAATTTAATGAGTGATACTGGTGCACGTTCATTAACTCATGTGATACAAATGAATCGTCATTTACATACAATATTCTACGATCGAAATGTTCTTTCATTAAATAATTTTGAAGATATTGTTAATGCTATGGAAGAGTATGTATTCATTTATTGTCTAGAAATAGGAAATCAAGTGAGATTTAGTATTTGAAAGAGCCGTTTCACAGGATTGTATGTGCAAAGTCTTGGTAACTCCTTTAATGAAGTTGTAGGTTTCGACATTCTCTTCGTAGAATGATTTGAATTTTTAATTTCTAGAGGGCTACTGCATTTCCTGGCAAAGCTCGTTTGTTTTTTTATTATATAAAAAAAAAGCACTTCTATAATTAGGATATTGAACTTGTCAGTTTTGCTCTTCTCGGATTAAAAAGTAAAAATTTAAAAAAATAAAGAGGACATTGCAGTCTGACATGCTCTTTCAAATAACAAAAACAAAATGTTAAATGTATAGAATGAAGGTCAGCGAAGAATTTTCGGTTGCACAATACAACTTCTTTCTGTTTTGAAAATATTGCACCGCTGATTTTTGGTAGATTTTACGAAGAAGCCCTAGTAGAAAAAAAAACATGTATTTTTAAAGATATGCACAGTATTTTGTCAAATGGAAGGAGATAAACAAAAAACAAGCACCTCAAACAGCGCCTAATATCTATAAAAAAAAACACGTCCAACTCTATCGGACTTATTGCAGTAGAGAAAGCGAAGTGACTTTTAACCTTTGCGACCCAGATATTTCTTAGAAGAAAATATTTGGGAATCTACAGTCTATGACAACTCTGAAAATAGGGATGCTGGTTTTTTTTTAGAAAATCTGTGTATAAAGACCTAATTGATTAGTTGAAAATATTTCCTAGTAAGATTTTTGTTCATATAAATGTCTAAAGAAAATCTTTTTGGTTTTTTTCATCACAGGAATTATGTTATTCAATATTTACCGGTACCTATGACTGATATCATACTAATGAAAACATCAGAAAAAGAACGTATGGAAAAACTTCAATTTTTAATAAATAAAGTAATTAGTTGTGTGTGTTTTTTTTTTTAATCTTTCATTTCATATTAATTTTCTATTTCTATTTCTAAGCTTGATTCTCTATGTATAAGAAATCAAGAACAAAATCAAAAAATATCTTCAACTGATTCTTTACTTGTAACAACAACAGCTAATTTAGCACATGAAATGACTTTATCATGGGAAAATCAACAACAATTATTTGCTGATCAATTATCACTTGAATATATTCAATCATGTTCAAATCGACCAAATAATAAAAATGATGAATTAAAATCAATGTTAACACGACCAGTACATATTAATGAAGTATATATTTGATTTTATATAAATAAAAGAAGAAAAAAAAAAATAATATTATTTTTGCTTTTTATAAGGTTTCATCTCAATTATATGATTTATATTTAATTGAAGAAGAACGTTTAAAAGATGATTGGCAAGATGTGTGTAAATTATTTGAACAACGATTTATTAGAACACAGGAAAATTTATCAAAAAAATATTATCAATTATTTAAAGAACAATCATTGATTAATTATGATGATGTAAATAAAGCAAAATTTTTTGTTTATAATTAAATTTTTGTTTTATTTAGAAATTTCAAGACGAAATTCGAACATATTTTTTAAATTCAAATAATGATATTAATCATTTATTAAATCATGAAATACCTGCTAAAATAGCATCATATACACGTGAATGTTACATTAATGTAGCAACATGTTTACAAAGAAGAGCTTATGATACAATGAATGAAATGGCGTATGATATGCATAAACAATTGGTAAGATTATTAAAGAGAAAAAAAAGGAGATGTTAGCTGATGCATTGATCAGCGACGAATACAAAAGTCTCAGGCTTCGGTAGCCATAACCACAACAGTCTGAGGCTATATAAGTCTCAGACTTCAGCAGCGGTGGCTACAAAAGCCTGCAGCTTTGGTAGCGGCAGCTAGAAAAGTCTCAGGCTTCGATGATGGCTACAAAAATCTCAGGCATCGACTACAAAAGCCTCAGACTTTGGGGGCGGCGGCACCTACAAAAGTCTAAGGCTTCGATGATGACGGCTACAGAAGTCTCAGACTTCAGCAGTAGCGGTTATAAAAGTCCGCGGCAGGGATTACAAAGCAGCAGGCTTTAGTGGCTACGGCTTTTGCAGCGGTGGTTACAAAAGCCTCAGGCTTCAGCTACAAAAGTCTTTGACTTTGGTGGCGGATGAAGTTTTCCAAAAGTTTATTCATTTTGAGACATTTTGAAAAAACTGAGAGAACGGTGGTGAGAGAGCTTGTTGACATGAAATCAGATGGTAACATCTTCAAAAATTTATTTAGAATGTTGGAGATTTTTAAAACTCAATTATCTATTTTTGTATTGAGATGGCAACTTAGCTGATCGACTTACACCTTTAGTAATAATAACTAACGAGAAAAAAGAGAATTTCTATTTGAAATTCTCCTAAGACTATTTTCTTCATAGTTATTTTTCTTAGCCATTGAAAACTATAATTATTCTTTTAATTCTAGGAATCGACTATACTTCGCACAGCCACTCCTTCACCACAAACATCAGCAGCAGATGGACAACAACATCCATCATCAAGTAAATCTATGATAATTTCATAAAAAGAATTTCTTTATAATCTTTCTTTTAAACTATAGCTATTGATCGTCTTGTTAATCGTGGTGCTAATGTTGTCCATCGTCTTGCTCATAATAAACATGGTCATCCTCAACCAGAATTAATCGATGAAACAATAAATAATCGACCATTAAAAACTACTGATTCAAATGAATATCTTGCGGGTAAATTATATTTATTGCTTTAAAAAATTTTTAAAATAAATATTAAATTTAGATCCACCACCAAAGACTCCTAGATCAACATCAAGAGATAATCGTTTATTACCATCTACATCAAATAAAGTTCCACCTCCAACATCACCAAAACAATCATCAGCTTCTAATCGTCATCGATCAGTTTTAAATAGTACAAATGAATCAGAACCTATTTCAACGAATACTAATCCAATTTATAATAATTTTTCTAATCTAAATCGAACAAGTAAACAAGATATTTCATTAGAAGATGAAGCTAATCGTATTGAACATGATTTACTTGATATAGTCGAACAAGAACGACAAAAAGATCAACAAAAAAATATACCACCTAATATACCAGCGAAAAAAAGATTAACATCATCAGCACAAGATGATCCTCTTGATATTGATCTTGAACCAACAACAAGATTAGTTCATTTAGGTATTAAATAACAATGACAAAAAAAAAACACAAAACATAAAAATTTATCTAGACGTCTTTTTCTCTGATGGCTGAATGTTGTGATATCTAAGATGATGATAGGAAAAGTTTAACAACAACATATTTTTCTATAATATTAAGCAATTAGCTTAAATCTAAATAGTGATTTTAATAGCCAATAGAATTTTCTATCTAATGCATTCTATATCAGATGAATTATAATGGCAAGGTTTACACGATAGTTTTTTTTTAGCAACTTTGCCATCTTAGTTCATCTAGAATGTATTAGATCGAAAATATTACTTCACTGAGTTAGAAATTTTATGAGATTGGACTTGATGTTTTAAATACAACTATTCGAGCTCATGTGTAATGCTAAACATTTGAACAAAATCATTCGTTAGTGATATGTCTTTACAAAATTAAAACATGTGTATCTTGAGATAATAAACTTTCCTAGAGCTAATTTTTAATATGTTACTTAAGTTATTATAGATACCTTGATAAAAAGCTAATGCTAGAGACGTTGATTCAGAGAAATTTTCAGTTAAAAGAACTAACTATGTTTGAAATAGTCCATATATTAAAGTTTAAAAAAACTTAACTTTTGCTGATGAAATATTTTTTAATTAATCTTTCTATTAAAGGTAAAGATCGACCTCGTCGTGATAACGTACGACGACCAGTAAAACGAACAGATGGTACTTCACATGATAGTTCATCTGATGGTGGTCTTGATAATGATGATAATAGTATTGGAGATATACCACCGACATCAACAATTGAAACATCAAATATAAATCCTCCTAACATATCAACTATTGATCCACCACCAATAACAGAATTACCACCGAAGTAAGTAAACTTGATGTGTTTTGTGTTTTTTGTTTTGTTTTATTAGTTATACTTTGATGAAATTTTTGGAGCAAAAAACAAAAATAGAAAATATCTTATCTATAATAGACATCGACACAAGTCAGAAAATCTGTTAAAGCAGTTAGTGAATAAATGCATGCATATACATATTTTTTTTTAACGACTAAAGACAAACCCCATAAGCTTGTTGCACGTTTTTTTTTTTTGTGTTTTCTACTAACAATTTATTTTCTTCTTTTCTATATTTAGAACAGTAACAAAATTTAAAGCAGCATTAAAATCTTCAAAAACATCCGCCGATGAATCATCTCCACCACCACCACCACCTATTCCAGCTAAAACTCAACAATCAACACGTTCTTCAAATCTTCAACAACAAACTAGTACACCATTATTAACAACAAATATTTCATCAAAATCAACAATACAAACTCATAATGATACATCACAAATTATTAATTCTGATTCAATATGTGATTCATCTCAAATAAAACCTTCAATATCATTGAGTTCACAAACAACAACATCACCATTATCAAATAAAGATGATCAAAAAGAAACATATAATTCATTAGAAAATATACCATCATCACACGCACCACCAGTTTTAGCTCGAACAGGCAAAGTAGCTATTGGTACTCGTGTACTTCCAATAATTGATCCTAGTGGAGAAGCACCACCAGTTAGATTAAGACATTTACAATCAGACAAAAAAGGTATATTTTTTTTGTATAACTAACTAATAAGTATAATTAAGATTATAGAATTTGTCTATAGCTATCGGTATGATTCTAATAATTGACGAAAATGTTTTTCTAGTACAGTAAAACTTCTTTTTTTAATAAATTTTGTTGAGATTTTTGAAAAGTATTCATCTATAGAAAATAGAGTTAATCGGATTCAAAATTTTCCGAATTGGATCCATTTATGGGAACCGAACTCGGTTGATTAAACTTTGTTCGGGCTCGAACAAGCAGCCGATCGAACCATACTTCAATACTCTCACGAAGAAAGGTCTTCAAGTGATTCATCGCTTTTAAGTCAGGACTATGTGCACCATGTAGACCGTAATGAGTTATGAATAAAAGTTCGGATCTATAGATTATTGCTGCCAAGATACTGAATTTTTACGGTATTATCTAAGCACAATGCCGTGATCTCTCTCAGGGACATCAGAAAAACTGAATTTGGAATTTCGACTTGAAGCTTTGTATAGTGGCAAGCTTCAATGAAAATAGTTTACTGTAAAAGTATCAGATCTCTTAGTTATTCCTATCCTAGGATACAATTATGGTAGAAGCATGCTAGTACACATTGGTCGATTTCTAGGTTCTTATTTCAGAATAGGAAGCAATCCACAGCACTGTGCTTAGAAAATACCGGAAAAATGCAGTATCTTAGCAGCAATACGCTATGGGCTCGAACTCTTTTCAGAGCATTCATAACTCACTATGGCCTACATAATGCACATAGTTCCGACTGAAAAACAAAGAATCATTTGGAGACTTTTCCTCGTCAATTGTGAGGAGAATAACAAGGACTTAAAAACTCAAAACATGAGTTTGGATGGAAAGTGTAAATCGAAATTTCTCGTATAAATGGTTGTTCAATTTGATCTGCTTGAAACAATCTTAGACAAGCCTAATCAGAATTTTGTACTCGCTTTGAAAATAGGTTGTGTGTCTGATTTTGTTCGAGACTAGTGAAGGAATTATGTAAAGGTTCAAAAAATTAGATTGAATGGTGAGTTAATAGGCTTTTGCTAAGCCTACAAGTTTCTTAAAAATTTTTGTCGAGCGGACACTCTTCTTTATCAAATTTTATATTGGACTAAGCTGTGACTTTTTTTGCTAAATAGTTTAAGAGAAATGAAAATTAAAGAAAAAACTCCAATAGTGCACTTTGTATGGTAGTTTCTGCTCTACAAACTGATATATTAATAAAGATACTTTCGAATTGCAAAATAATGAAAGTAGAAAAGTCTATGGAAAAATTTTCCATAAACCTTGCAATAGATTCGGAAAGAACACAAAAATTTAGTCATAATTCATAGCCGTTGACTAGAGATATGGACAAGATGATCCCGCCCATCGTTACTTTTAACTCCTCGGAAAATGCTTTCAAGGTAGTCCAAAATAAGCGAACATTTTGTCTCAAAACTTTTGGTATCTAGTTTGTTAAGAGGAGAAATTCTATTCAGAACAATATCAAACTGTTTTTTTCTTTTTTTTTAATTTATTCAATAGACAGTCCAACAGGATCTGATGCCACATCCGGTGCTGGAGATTTATCAACATCGACCGATAGTGAAAAATACAAACGTAAGAAATTTATCTTCCTATGTAATTTTCTTTTTTTTTTTTTGATGAATTAATTTTGAAGGTTTATCAGTAAAAGAACGAGCTCGTATGTTAACTACACCTAATGCTCCAATGACATTAAATGATAAAAAGACAGCAACATCACCATCTAATACAACAGGTAAATAATATAAATGAAATTTGTTTTTGTTTTTTTTTGTCAAAATTTAACTTCCAGGCGTTTTAAATGAAAAATAATATTTCAAGTAAGATTTTTGTGTCGCTTATTAATGCTTCCTTATATATAATTATTGATTATTTTGTTGATCTTTTTAACATATAAATCTATTTATTTTAGTTACATCACCTTATACACCACGTACTCATCGTCGATTAATTGAACAAGTGAATCTATTTTGTTGATTAGCACATTCCAAGTATTTTTCTTTTCTTTTCTTTTTTTGTTCGGATTATTTATTATTGTTCTCAAAAAACAAAAAAAAAAGAATTTTCCTCATTAATGTCTATGCTTGTTGTTTAATATAATATTACATCTCTCATTAATCTTCGGAGAGTATTCATTGTCTTAATTATTCATATTTGATCAATTTTGCTTGCTCATTGGTGCTCCATTATCTTTTCTTTTTAGTTTCTCATGCTTAACTTCTTATTTTTTAACATACCGATATGCTTCTTCTTTTTAATTATGTAAAAATAGAAAAACAAAAAAAAAAAACAAAATGACTTATATTGAGCTATTCTCTATTTTTTACTTATTCGCTTATGTGTGTATTCTTGTGTTTGTTTCTTTTTTTATTTATAATGATAACAAGAAATAAATTAAAGAAGAAGAAAATAAATGAATAATTATTTGATATTATATTCTTGAACAAATCATCAAATTTCTCAGAATTTTCTGACGTATTTTCGACGAAGGAATTTTTATTGAGAATCGATATAAAATGTTGTTCAAGAAATTTTGTAAAGATTAATATTTTCGTGATGGATGATATCCTGTAACTCGAGCAAGTGTTCGAAACATGAATTCAGGCATAAGATTATGTTCGAACTCTACCTGGCAATTAATGAAATCTTGCTGTGGAAAAATATTTTTACTTTTTCAAATTGCGAATTTATATAAAAGCATAGGAGTGAAAATCTGAGTAATTTATTATACTTGAGAACAGGTCATAGAAGTGGAAAGCGATATTTTCCCACTAAAAGAATTCATCTACAGATGATGAACCATATGATGAAGTAGTTGAATATACGGGGAAGAAAATGAATTATCAAAAAGATGAACATGTAAAGCATGAATGTATGTATTCACAACTAGGACGTTGGGCACTAACACTGTGTTTCATGTCAGCATCATCAGTAATAAGTAAATGTCACATATGTCACAGGCAAAAATGGTTTTTGTTTGGCGCTTCTATCAAATTTAATTTTGACTAGGTAGAATTCGTTCTCTGTTCCTGATTATTTTATATCATCTAACTACCAATTTCTGTCATTTTCATAAACAAAGTTCATTGAGTGTTAAATAGCTTTCGATATTTTCTTTTGCAATATCAATAATGATATTACAACAATCTACTTATTCTCATCCTATTATCAATGATTTTGCACGTGAAAAATTCTATTAACTTACTAAAATACATATTGATGCGTTAAATCCTAAATTTCGTAATAAAGCTGTTATTACTTGTGTTCAAAGCAAAAAACATCAATGTAGTTCAGAACAAGCTATCTACTGAAAAGGTTTCCGGTTGTTTTTCTCACTGGTGCAAACAAACGTTCACGCTTCGTTTTATCGCTGATCATCAACTTTTATATGATTTTAAAGAATTTAAACCTGTTCTTTTATACGAAGACATATACGATGTTTATCAGACAAGCCACAGCATATTGTAGAAAATTTCCTTTCTTTTAGACAATCACCCCACGTCAATCCATTTTCATCAAAACAGGACATACAGATACGGTAGATAAAAAATTATTTATTCATATATAAAATTTCCCCAATCATCAATGTCCCCATCACTCCCCATCATCAAAAAAATGACTAATTTATTATTACATAAAAAAAAATACTAAGCGTCTATGTCTTTGTTGTTAAATAGACTAAAAAAAACTTTTAATTTTGAATAAACAAATGGACTTGTAACTTTATAAAAAATATCTTTTTTTGAAAAATCAAAAATAGCAATTTCAATCTCAACTAGATTTCAAACTCACCTCCCACATCTATATTCAAACAAACTCAAAATGATTTTTTCATTTAATACTAAAGTAATTAAAAAAGATGATGAAGGATACCGAAACTTCCATATCTATACTTAGCAAAATTGATCGATCGAATGTCGATTAGCTCCGCGGTTGCAAAAAGGCGTACTCGTACAGGACACTAGTAACGGTGAATAAACTTCAAACGTAACCGTTCATTAAGACTTTATAACAAGACCAACAGTGTTTTATCCAACGTGGAGACCGAAGATCAGATTAGCGCTCCCGGAGTTTTAAATCGCCTTTTCAAAAGATAAAATCTTGATAAAACACTGTCAATACAGTATTAGTATAGTTATATCGCTACCGTTTATTCTAGTCATGATGTGTAGATCTGATCTGAAGAGCAATTAGCATCACTCAAAACTTTTCTATTGCTATGCATGTCGATGTAATCATTTTATATCATCGGCTAGAGTGATCAAAGCATACAAATATATGTCAACGTTCAATTTAAGATCCAAATTTCAACTAGTTCACACTTGGATTGTGCAAAAAGCTATGAAAATTATTTAAACCAAAGCTTCATTTATCAAAATGAATTATCATCACTGCATCATAGTTCATCAAAAAACAATCGCCTGCAACCTAGCATAGATTTCATCTTTATACACGATACAAATTTGGACTTGTTTAAAAATCGAATCTTAGATTGGATACTTATGTGAAATAATTTGTTTAAAATTATCCTACTAAGATTTAAACTCAGCATTTTTATGATATGTGTTAAACAGCAAAACCATATATTTATATCAAACATTAGAATATTGTAGTTCTTGAATTTCGTTGACCCTATATAACATGAAAGATTCCTCCGCTAAATCTCATTTAGATATTTGTCGAAAGTCAAATATGTTCATAGTATCGAAAAAAAAAAATTGTTTTTTGTCTTGCAACATCGATATTTTATCTTCTATTCCATATTTAAAAATGTGTATTTGTATCATAAGATTATTTTAATCGATAAGGAAGAAGCTTTTTTTTTTTCTATTTAATGAACTAAAGCTTTAGCAACAAGACTTGAAGTTGAAGAAATTGTTGCCGGTCGAGGAATTCGTGCTGTAGGAAATGGTAAACCATAAAGAGCAAATGCAGTACGTGCTCGACCACCATCATTTCGACGTCTTGCAAATGGATATGATATAGATTCAGGAGTAAAATTACGAAATGCTCGTTGTGTTTTTGTTATTCGTCGATGAGCAATTGATAATGGTCGACGTATTGTTCGATGTAATAATTTATGTTCTTGATTTAATCTATTTTGTCGTTCATATCCATATGATTTATAATGATAATTACGTGATGGTATTGGTGTACTAATTAAAAGTTCATAAGTATCAAATGCTCTTTTTCTTTTATGTTTTTTAGCTATATTATATACACGATAACAATGAAATGCAATCATAAGAATATTTTTTGACATAAATAATATTATTGATGGTTTACTACATCGAACTTTACTAGCTAAAAACATTCGATAAAGTAGAAGAAGACCATCATGAATAAATAAAGACTATTAGAAATAAAAAAAATAAAAAGAAACATTACTGAATATATATTTTCTTCAATACGACTTACTCGAAAAAGTGGACATATATTTTGATCTTGAAAAAAATTTATTCGTCTTGATAATATTCTTCCAGGATAATATGTTGTATTTTCATTAGAAGATGATATTAATCCATCTGTATCAATAAATGCCATTTCAAATAAGGCAATTGTAAGAAGAATAAGACCAATATACATCCAAACTCGTTCAATGATAACATCATGATATTGTAATGAATGTGAAATAGATAATAGATCAGCAACATTTATTAAAGTAACAACTAAAATAATTCCACTTTTTTCTATTGTCATATGTTCATGACTTATAAGTAAACGACTTAGAGTTAAAACAACAAGTAAAGTTTCTTGTATAGCATCAAGCCAACGTTGTTCTTCCATATAGTACCATGCCTGAATAGAAAAAAAAATAAAGTAGTTTTAATTGTTTTTGTTTATCTATTTCGTCATTTTCAAATTACTTTATCATGGCATTCAATATGTCCAATAGAAAGAATAAGTTGTGTAGTAGTTGGTAATACGCGTCGTATACGTAATGGATCAGATGAAAATAATGTACTATTTGAAAGAGTATTTCGTTGTCGAATATGACTCGATGGTATAGCTGCTCTAGCATTAAGTTTATTTTCTGCAAGACGATATAATTTTCTATTAGCTGTTTCAACATGAATTATCCATAGTGATGGTACTGAACATGTCAAATAGAATATGATACAAAAGGCAACTCTAAAACAAAATTAAATTAAATTATACAAAAAAAAAAGAAAAAAAAAACAATGAATTTTGTTTATTTTCTTTTTGTTCATACGTTTTAAATTCACGTCCATTTCGTAACCAAACAACAATGCCAGTTTCGACAAGTAAAAATCCAAGACCAACAAGTATAACCCAACAATATTGATTATCATTTGTCTCGACAACACGCCAAGCACAAATTAGTCCATGAGCTATAAGAAACACTCGTACTAGGAGTGACTTGACTATGGTCAGGCCGTGCATTCATCCGGCCATCTGTCTTATTTATCTTCTATGACAATTTCTTTTGATGTGAACAAAAATACAAAACACAACAAAAAACAAAAAGAAAGGCAAAGAACAGTTAGAATGACATAGTTTCGTCGACAAATAATTAATACCGGCTAAGCCTTTCTTTTATCTTTCCGTTGGAGATTTGAGCTATCCGTTCAATGCTATGTACTATATTTAGTCATTAATGTAGGTATGTCTTCTTCTTTTTTCTTTTTTCTTAGGTCAACATTTATTGCATCAAAAAACTCTCAATATGTTCACATCATCAGTCAAAGCTTACACAAAATAAAATATAACTAAGACATTCTTTGTAAATTTATTCATAGAAACTTTGTTTAATTATTGCATACATATCGAAATATATCAAAATGAATAAGAAAATAGAAGAAAATAGTGTGTTTATTTATTTTTCATTGATTCAATATATGCCCTAGTTTGTGTTACAACAAAAAAAAAACTGGGCATCTTGTATCAATGAATGGCATGTTTACAATTCGTTAGGAAGTATATTCAGAAATTATGTTTATATTAGTGTTCAACGAAAAATAACTTTTGTGTTGTGTTAAATAAGTATTATTTGTGTGAGTGTATATGTGTGTTATAATAACAACAATGATAATAAGCAAGAAAAAGAAATTGTAATCGATTACAAAAAACACGTATCAAAAGAAGGAATTCATTCCTTCTTATGTCATAAAAATAAAATAAATAAATAAATAGATATAAATTAAAAGTTAACCACTTGTTGTTTACGTAATGATAATTCAATCATTTCAATAGATACATTGGATTTTTGTGATACTCTACCCGAAGGTGGTTCCGATTCGAATACATTATCACTTTCATATGTATCATTTCCTATATCTAAATCAGAACTTGAATCATCATTATCAATATCCGTATCTAAATCGTCGAGAGTTTTTAAATATTGTACAACTTTTTTTGCATTGAATTGTGTTGCTAAATGAATTGGCATACATTCATTTGTATCATAAGCATGTGGATCAGCACCTTTTTGTATTAAATAATGAACAAGTTCATAATCATCGGCTGGACCACATGCAATATGTAATGGTGTCCAACCATTTTTATCTTTACTTTTTAAACTAACACCTTTTTCTAAAAGATATTTTACAAGTGAAATATCTCCATTATCACATGCAATATGTAACAATGAACGATTATCTCCATCGGTTATATGTATATTAGCACCATTAACTAAAAGTAATTCTAAAATATCTATAAAGAAAGAAAAAGAAAAAAAAATTTGAAACATATATATGTAAAAAAAAAGAAAATATTTTAAATTTAAATAACTCAACCTCGTCTTTTTGTTTGAACAGCAGCATGAAGTAATGTCCAACCTGATTTATCTTTTTTATTAACATTAACATGTTTATTAATTAACATAGTCATTTTTTTTAAACAACTATTACCACTACCTACAACAAACATCATTGGTGTTGCACCTGTTTTATCTTCAATATCAGGTTCATTAATATAATCAAGTAATATTTCAAGTATATCAGTATTTTCTGCCCAAGCTGCAAAATGTAATGGTGTTCGTTTCATTGAATCAACAGGTCGTCGAAGATAATCTTCAATATCTTTATGATTTAATTGAGTAATTATAGTACGTAAATCATCGATACTATTATCATCAATTGCTTTTATTATTTTACTACATTTAGCAATATCTCGTACTGTTCCTTGTATTAAACCATGATAAATATCTAGTGCAAGTTCACGTGCTCGTTTAAATAACATTAATTGTTCACTAGAGTATAATGTTTGTTAAATACGACAAAAAATAGTCACAAACAAAATATAGGAAAAATGGGAATGAATAACGAAACGTTATGCTTCAATAATTTGCCAATACTGACACATACACACATACATATACATACACAAATACTCATGTATGCTACGAAAAAAAAAATAATAATAATAAATAAAGAAAAAAACGTATATCGATGTTTTATGATGAGTCGTGTACTCGGCTTTTTTTTCTTCTATCTCTCATTATCCGACGCACAGACATAATCTGACATTGATTGATTTTACAATAGAAAAATTTATTTTTATCCTAGTACTTAGAGTATTATAAAATTTTTCTTTTCTTATTTCAAAATAAATGAAATATATGTAAAAAAATAAAATAAAATAAAATATGAAGTAGACCATATCAAATATCATTAATATATTTTTTGTTCATAATTTATAATGTCAAGTATATTATACAATACTTTAAATATATTTTTACAGAGATGATGGAATAATTATAATATATAATTTTAAGATATTGAAAGTTTTTTTTTGTTTACATGAAATCTTATGACAAATAATAATAAGTGTCATTATATTCAAAAATAGATTATTGAACATTATAAATTTTATTTAGTTAACAAATTTCTTTTATTCAATAATCATCTAACATTACTAAATATATCATTGATGAAATTCAAACTATTTAAATCAATTCATAAAAATTCAAATAACAAAGAATATTCGATGATATTAAAAAAAGATCATCAATCTTTATATATATATATATATAAATCATCACCTATGTTATACGTTTGTTTGTACAATCGTAGTAGATTGATAATTAGAAGACAGCCGATATAGTGTACATTATACTAAACGGTTTTTATTCGATTTGAATTACATTTGAAAAAAAAATAAAATAACACAGATTACTACCAAAATGTTTTTCATTCAATTGGATATTATAAAATATTTTGTCTTTAAAAAATAGAATATGAATACAAATTAGACTAATAATAATCAATCAAAGTAAAATAAGAGAAATTGATGATACAAAAAAAAAAATATTAGTTGTATCTTTGATATTTTATTGTTATTCAAAAAAAAAAAAGTTTTAATATAAAAATTAACTACAATGAAATGTCTTTATTTGGCAAATATTTTTCTACTTCATGTTAAAAACAAATATAAAATATGAATTTAATTTATCTGTATTTTTCTTTTGAATTATTCGTATTACACTAAAAAAAAATCCATCATTAAAGATCTTATAAATGAGTCTAAGTTATGAAAAACGTACATATCATTATTATTTGAATATTATCTATAAATCTACTGATAAAAAAAAAACTAAGAATTTTTTTTTTTATCAATGACTTTAAAATGCTTTTATATTAAACAGAAAATATTGTTTCAATCATTTTTATTTTTATCTATTGAATTTCATGATTTTAAGTATTCAATATATATATATATATATATATGATTTGATGACAGATTATATTTTCTTTTTTTGTCTTTTCAATTTTTTATTTGACATTGTTCTAGAGAACACAAAGTTTTTCATCAAATATTTTCTTTTATAATCATATGTCATTTTTATTATAAAGAAGACATTGACAACAATCTTAAAATAATGTTAATAGCCTTCCTTTTTAATTTATTTTTTATACAAATTATTTCATTTACAACTATTACAAGTATAACATATTCATGTTGGACAAATTCAACATGTGGTTGTTCATTAAATTCAGCTATTTTAACAAAGATTATTGGTGGTGAAGAAGCTACAATGAATAGTTGGGGTTGGGCTGTATCTATACGTAGGCGAAATAATCATATATGTGGTGGATCATTAATATCATCTGAATTAATTTTAACAGCTGCACATTGTCTTGTTTCAGTAAAAACATTATCAAGTCTTAGTGTCACAGCTGGTTCAAATTATCTATCGATCATTAATCAACAACGATCTGTTTCAGAAATTTTTATTCATCAAAATTATGATTCAATGACATATATTAATGACATAGCTGTAATACGTTTATCATCATCATTTGATATGAGTGATCGTTCATTAGCTATAATTTGTTTACCACCATCACTACTAGAATATCCATCAAATGATACAACAGTTATTGCTATTGGTTGGGGTGTATTGTCACCGACAGAAAAACTTTCATCAGATACATTACAACAAGTGACTTTGAAAATTGTTGCTAATACTATCTCTATATGTTATGTATTAATTCATAATGAAAATGGTCAAATTTGTGCTGGTGTTCAAGGTGGTGGAAAAGGTATGAAAAAACAAAATATTAATTGTAATATTAGATTCTCTTTTTCTTTTACATTAGACACATGTCAAGGTGATAGTGGTGGTCCATTAATGATGTTTTCTAATAAAAAATGGTATATAGTTGGTATAACAAGTTATGGAGATGGATGTGCTTTACCTCTTTCTCCTGGTGTTTATACACGAGTAACAATGTATGAAAAAGATATTTCTTGTTTTTTAAAAAATAAGACATTATGTATAAAGAAAAAATTTTTTGTTCGAAACTCAGTTTCATCAATTGTCACATCATTTTATATGAATAATTTTTTCATTTCTTTATTTTTGGTAATAATTTACTTCTTGTTTTAATAAGAAATAAAATCTATAAGTGATTTATTTTTATAAATTTCCATCTATTCTTGAATATATAATCTACAAAGCAAATGATCATAAAATATTTGTTGCAATATCTTTTCTAGGTATGAGTGTGGGTGCGGATGCCGATATGTGACCATGACAAGGTACAAACGGCAAGACTTTGAAGTACCGAAATCTTGCTTTTTTTCTCTTGGACTGTGATGTGTAGGTGTTAGCGCAGGAAACCTCTACACCAACAACCATACACCAGGCAAGGATTCGCAGTATTTTATAAGTTTTTCTTGATTAACTTGACGAAAGTGAAATTACATTGAATACATTCATATGAAGTATCTCTTCTTGACTTGATTTCCATTATAGTTTGAGTTCAAACATAAGATTATCTTTTTGGATTCACTTGAGTAAAAATATTAATGCAATCCCCTTGTATGATAATAGAACGATAAAGTAAAAGAATGTATATGAATTGGAAATGGACAACTTTTGATTTACTATCAGAGGTATTAAAAGATGCTTCTTTGTCGCGATTATTAGTAGATGCATTTAACACTAGCGACATCTATATGAAATATAGTCTAGAACTGAAAAACAAATATAACTATTATATAATCATTAGGAATATTCATATATGTTTGTCATTCTGCTAAGAATCACCTCGACGAAAATTATACAAAGCAGTAGAAGCAAAATGTTTACAGTCTAAAGCACATATTTAGAGAAACTTGTTTCTAGCTGAAAGTGTCTTAATCCATGATAAACTAAATTGAAAAAGCTAACACTAAGTGTGAGTCATTTTCGATATGACAGCATACTATGGGAACCTTTGTGACCTTGCATGTTAAAAAATGCACTGTACAATTCATCAAATGCAAT